ATTGGTTTCTGATCTTGCACATTTTTCTGTATGTCATATAGCCTTTTTCTTAATTGCAGCAATCATCTAACTGTTTCACTCAGTTTTTAACATAACTTTCAAGAATTTCTCTATCAGTTTTACACTGCCTGCAGTATTCCAGTGCATAGATTAATGCTGTTGTAAGCAGGTTACCATTCTGAGGTACTGCAAGGTAAGTATTGTTCCAAGAGTGAGAGGAAAAGTGAATTTTCCAGTTACAACCAAACAACAGCTGAGGTGTGACATTTGTAGGTGACGTGACATGGTCGAGTGATTGCTCACGACTTGTTATGGAAGGCTGGGGTTCAGTTCTCAGGAGGGTTGAATCTACTGTTTCATATAGTAAAATAATATTCTGTAAATAACTGCATAATTTTTTAACTTGAATTGTTTAACTTTTATATCATTTCTGAAAGGTGTAATTTACTTCATTTATTGAATTCACTGTTTTACAGCTTAATAGGGTTTCTTACAGGATTATCTTTTTGAAGAATACATAAATTTATTTGAAACTAAACTTTTAAAGAAAGCCTTGCTATGTTAATAAAATTATTAGAAATTCACAAGTATTATAATATAGAAAAAATCTACAGAGGGCCCTAACTTATAACCATGCATTCCTGAAAATTCTGTTACTTTGGCTTTTAGAACCTGAGTCTGTTTTCCCATAGACACCCACTGAAAGCAGTGAAGAATTTTTACGAGGATAGTGAGGCTCAAGTTAGAGTATGTAGGAAAGAGGGAAATTATTTCCCAGTAAAAGTAGGCCTTAGACAAGGATGTGTGATGTCACCGTGGTTGTTTAATATATTTATAGATGGGGTTGTAAGAGAAGTAAATGCGAGGGTCTTGGCAAGAGGCGTGGAGTTAAAAGATAAAGAATCACACATAAAGTGGGAGTTGTCACAGTTGCTCTTTGCTGATGACACTGTGCTCTTGGGAGATTCTGAAGAGAAGTTGCAGAGATTGGTGGATGAATTTGGTAGGGTGTGCAAAAGAAGAAAATTGAAAGTGAATACAGGAAAGAGTAAGGTTATGAGTATAACAAAAAGATTAGGTGATGAAAGATTGGATATCAGATTGGAGGGAGAGAGTATGGAGGAGGTGAATGTATTCAGATATTTGGGAGTGGACGTGTCAGCGGATGGGTCTATGAAAGATGAGGTGAATCATAGAATTGATGAGGGGAAAAGGGTGAGTGGTGCACTTAGGAGTCTGTGGAGACAAAGAACTTTGTCCTTGGAGGCAAAGAGGGGAATGTATGAGAGTATAGTTTTACCAACGCTCTTATATGGGTGTGAAGCATGGGTGATGAATGTTGCAGCGAGGAGAAGGCTGGAGGCAGTGGAGATGTCATGTCTGAGAGCAATGTGTGGTGTGAATATAATGCAGAGAATTCGTAGTTTGGAAGTTAGGAGGAGGTGCGGGATTACCAAAACTGTTGTCCAGAGGGCTGAGGAAGGGTTGTTGAGGTGGTTCGGACATGTGGAGAGAATGGAGCGAAACAGAATAACTTCAAGAGTGTATCAGTCTGTAGTGGAAGGAAGGCGGGGTAGGGGTCGGCCTAGGAAAGGTTGGAGGGAGGGGGTAAAGGAGGTTTTGTGTGCGAGGGGCTTGGACTTCCAGCAGGCATGCGTGAGCGTGTTTGATAGGAGTGAATGGAGACAAATGGTTTTTAACACTTGACGTGCTGTTGGAGTGTGAGCAAAGTAACATTTATGAAGGGGTTCAGGGAAACCGGCAGGCCGGACTTGAGTCCTGGAGATGGGAAGTACAGTGCCCGCACTCTGAAGGAGGGGTGTTAATGTTGCAGTTTAAAAACTGTAGTGTAAAGCACCCTTCTGGCAAGACAGTGATGGAGTGAATGATGGTGAAAGTTTTTCTTTTTCGGGCCACCCTGCCTTGGTGGGAATCGGCCAGTGTAATAAAAAAAAAAAAAAAAATGTCTTACACTCATGAAAAGGCATACTTTTGAAGGACATTTTAATAATCTCATTTGCAAATTTTGTTTACATAATTTGACATCATATATCATATGTGCAAAATTAAGATCTGTATAGTATTTTTCAATTGAATAATTAAATACAAAATCGATTAATAAAGATTGTTTTGTTTATCAGAAATGTGAAGACAATCTTTTTAAGAATTAAAGATTAGTTCATATTTTCATATCATGTATTAAGCATGATAAACAATGATTTTGTAGTAATTCAAATGTGAAATATTTTTGTATGAAGTTAAATACTTTTTTGTGTAACATAGTTCAGTATCTGTGTTTAAAATTGTTTTTAATTATATAGCTGCTTTATCCCTCTTTTTAAATTTTACAACTTATTTATTATTACACATTAATATTTCATGTAGGTAGAAGGTTGGTAGACAACAACCACCCAAGGAGGTACTACCGTCCTGCCAAGTGAGTGTAAAACGAAAGCCTGTAATTGTTTTACATGATGGTAGGATTGCTGGTGTCTTTTGTCTGCCTCATAAACATGCAAGATTTCAGGTATGTCTTGCTACTTCTACTTACACTTAGGTCGTACTACACATACATGTACAAGCATATATATACACACACACACCCCTCTGGGCTTTCTTCTATTTTCTTTCTAGTTCTTGTTCTTGTTTATTTTCTCTTATCTCCATGGGAAAGTGGAACAGAATTCTTCCTCCGTAAGCCATGCGTGTTGTAAGAGGTGACTAAAATGCCAAGAACAAGGGGCTAGTAACCCTTCTCCTGTATAAATTACTAAATTTTAAAATAAAGTTTCGTTTTTCTTTTTGGGCCACCCTGCCTCGGTGGGATACAGCCGATTTGTTGACAAAAAAAAAAATTAATATTTCAATGTTTAGGGTAAATATTGGTCGTTAGAAAATTTCCTTCACTATGAAGGCTGGAGTCAGGGTTATGGGAGGATTGATCATTAAAAATAATTTTTTTTTTTTTCCCAACAAGTCAGCCATCTCCCACCGAGGCAGGGTGACCCAAAAAAGAAAGAAAATCCCCAAAAAGAAAATGCTTTCATCATCATTCAACACTTTCACCACACTCACACATAATCACTGTTTTTGCAGAGGTGCTCAGAATACAACAGTTTAGAAGCATATACGTATAAAGATACACAACATATCTCTCCAAACTGCCAATATCCCAAACCCCTCCTTTAAAGTGCAGGCATTGTACTTCCCATTTCCAGGACTCAAGTCCGACTAAATGAAAATAACCGGTTTCCCTGAATCCCTTCACTAAATATTACCCTGCTCACACTCCAACAGATCGTCAGGTCCCAAGTACCATTTGTCTCCATTCACTCCTATCTAACACGCTCACGCACGCTTGCTGGAAGTCCAAGCCCCTCGCCCACAAAACCTCCTTTACCCCCTCTCTCCAACCCTTTCGAGGACGACCCCTACCTCGCCTTCCTTCCCCTATAGATTTATATGCTTTCCATGTCATTCTACTTTGATCCATTCTCTCTAAATGACCAAACCACCTCAACAACCCCTCTTCTGCCCTCTGACTAATACTTTTATTAACTCCACACCTTTTCCTAATTTCCACACTCCGAATTTTCTGCATAATATTTACACCACACATTGCCCTTAGACAGGACATCTCCACTGCCTCCAACCGTCTCCTCGCTGCTGCATTTACCACCCAAGCTTCACACCCATATAAGAGTGTTGGTACTACTATACTTTCACACATTCTCTTCTTTGCCTCCATAGATAACGTTTTTTGACTCCACATATACCTCAATGCACCACTCACCTTTTTTCCCTCATCAATTCTATGATTAACCTCATCCTTCATAAATCTATCCGCCGACACGTCAACTCCCAAGTACATCTGAAAACATTAATTTCTTCCATACTCCTCCTCCTCAATTTGATATCCAATTTTTCTTTATCTAAATCATTTGATACCCTCATCACTCTACTCTTTTCTATGTTCACTTTCAACTTTCTACCTTTACACACATTCCCAAACTCATCCACTAACCTTTGCAATTTTTCTTTAGAATCTCCCATAAGCACAGTATCATCAGCAAAAAGTAACTGTGTTAATTCCCATTTTGAATTTGATTCCCCATAATTTAATCCCACCCCTCTCCCGAACACCCTAGCATTTACTTCTTTTACAACCCCATCTATAAATATATTAAACAACCATGGTGACATTACACATCCCTGTCTAAGACCTACTTTTACTGGGAAGTAGTCTCCCTCTCTTCTACACACCCTAACCTAAGCCTCACTATCCTCATAAAAGCTCTTTACAGCATTTAGTAACTTACCACCTATTCCATATACTTGCAACATCTGCCACATTGCTCCCCTATCCACTCTATCATATGCCTTTTCTTTATTGTATGTAAAGTCAGTATCCTCTTCTTGTAATAATTTCAGGTTTATACAGATAACTGCATAGTTTAATATTGCTGTTGGCTCTTGAGTAAAAGAATTATAAGTACTTTAGTGCCTAATTGTTCTTGTATGCATAGGTAGATAACTTGCTATACTGTAAGCTTTGATTCCATATTTGAAGTACCAAACCCCCAAAACAAACAAATACATGCATTCATGCATAATAATAATAATAATATCTTTATTTACTACGAGTACATGTACATGGTATACAGGCCTAGCTGACATCAGTGACATACTACTATATAGAAATCCCCTTGTTATGCTGAGCATTTCAGACAAATTAGGTCAGTGTCCCAGGATGCGACCCACACCAGTTGACTAACATCCAGGTACCCATTTTACTGATGGGTGAACATAGACAACAGGTGTAAAGAAACATGCCCAATGTTTCTACCCTGGCTAGGAATTGAACCCAGACCATCACCGTGTGAAGCGAGAGCTTTAGCCACCAGAGCCCTGCATGCATACATGCATGCAGTCACTCACAGTCAAGCAGATCAAGATGGACAAACTCATACACAGGATACAAGGTTGATTAAAAATACTAGTTAAGTATACTGTAGGCCTTTATTGGCTAATACTTGGTAATACAAGTACTGTATATACATGGTACATAATACCAAAATTTGGTTGACTCTGTGATGGAAAATCTTAAGATGATGATGTGGGAAGAGGTGGAAGGAGGAGAAAATAGATAAATAGCTGGAAAAAGTCAAGCTAAAGATGAAGGTCTGGTGTCAGTGGAGCTACAATAAGGTATGGCACTGGTCACTTACATTTGTGTCTGTGTTTGATCCTTCTAGTGGCTAAGTTTTTAGTGTTTTAAATACAGTACATTTGGAGTTTTCTCTTATTTAGGCAAGGGTTTTCTGTCAAGTATACACATTTTTGTGGTGGAAAAAATACAGTACTGTATTACTTTATACAGTAAATAATTGTTCAGTATTACAAATGCAGTAGTTTATCCCTCATTCAGATTCTTGTTCAGTACTTTAAATTTTCCCTAATAAAGAAAACAGTGTTTTGAATTCAAGATGTTCTCCAAAATTCAGAAAGCTCTGAATTTTTATGAAAATTCTTAAAATTATTTAGGGAAATATTTTAAGCAAAATAATTATAAGAGGAAATATTTTCATAAAATCTTAATCTGAAATATTCTCCAAAATTGGGGATATCTGAATGAGTAAAATTTCTGAATTTCAGTTTAGAAATTTTAAATTTTCATAATTAAGAATCACCTATAATTTGGACATTTACCAACAAGAATTGGTATAAAAAAGAAAGAAATCACTGCAGTTATAAAGGTTTTATGATTGTAATAAACAAGTGGGTAGTGTTATACTTGTGGACTGTCTCTATATTAATAATGAAAGAAAATGTTCCTATGAAATGTCTTTCTGTATAGTAATAAGCTGCATGACCCATGCAGGTTTAGCACTTGTGTTTTAATATTAATACAGTAATGTGTAGTAGTAAGATGTTGAGAAGATGCCAGGGACATTTAGGGGCATTAATGCCACATGCCTTTTTTTCTCTCGTTACACAGTAACCTTGATAGTGATGCAGAATGATTTTGATAAATTTTTCTCACTCTGCTGTAGCTTGTAACTGATGCTTATACTGCACCACTGACTCTGCTCAGAATATTGCAACAATATCGATGGGAGGCTTTGGACTGAGCTACAGCAATGATTGATGCCAATGGTGTGAAACCAAGTGGAGAGTACAGTACTTGCTTTCAGGCTTCATAATTTTGCTTAATTTCTATTTATGCTGTAAGATTCTTGGTTTACTTTCAAGTGGTCTTTTATATATATATATATATGTCGTGCTGAATATGTAAAACTGGTCAATTAGCAAGAACTCATTTAAAATTAAGTCCTTTCTAAAAATTTCTCTTATACGTTTAAAGATATATTTTTTTCATTAATGTTAATGTAAAAATTTATAATTTTGCATCAACAGAATCTTAGAAAACTTGCCTAACCTTATTATAACAAGAACACTTTATTTTAGCCTAACCCAACTACATATATTTTAGATTTGTTTACAATAATTTAATACTAAACGAACACAGTGAAATATATTTTTTTCGTTAGGTTCAGAATGATTTTGGCGAAATTATTGCATACACAAATTTTCGCTTGTCCTATATGGCAAGATGAGCGTTGCTATTTAAGCCAAGATAGCAAGTTCTGCCTATTCGGCACGACATATATATATATATATATATAATATATATATATACAGCATAATTGCTCATGATTGTTATTTGTGCTATGTATATTACTCAGATGTATAGATTGACTACATCATATTTATTAACATTGCATCATCTTTTCTATAAATTGTTGCACAGTCAGCTGAAATTGGTGCGTTATTGAAGCTGTTGTTTCCTGCGTGCAGCAAGTTGCTGTCTGAGAGCATCCAACTCAGCCTGCCTCTTCTCCTCGGCTATACGTTGACGCTCTCTCTGTTCTCTGTACAAAGCCAGTTCCTCTGGGGTGTAGTAATTCTCACTGTGGGAGAGAAGAGAGACAAGATAGATGAAGGGAGGAACAGAAAGTAGTTTTTCTAGAATCACATTCAGTATGGTGCTTAAAATATTGCCAGGTATTCTTTAAAGGCAGTAAGTATGCACCATAAAAGTGCAGAAATGAAAACCTGAGTAAATCTTAAAGATATCCAAAAAGTGTATTCACGAAATAAAAGACTAAAAACTTCATAAAACAACAATCAAAGAGCAAGCATGAAGAGCAAACATACATGTTTAATTGCCCTGATGCTGGCAAAGGGCTCTTGATCCAAGAAATTGGAACTTTTCCCTTTGGATCAAGTTTAATTACCTCTCATTCTTCATGTGCTGCATTTTCCCTAAAGATTTAGTACATCTCCATGAATTTCATAATAACCTAACTCCGTGGAACAGCAAGAAGGAAAGTGATCTTACCATCCTCGGACATTTTGGGGCTCGTCACAGGTGTACGTCTCTTCATTAAAGACAAGACCAAGTTGGCAGAACTGGAGCCTTGGGGAAGTGTTTACACATATGAAGAACTGGCGACAGTCACGGGGGGATCTAAATTGTGGGTATCCACTGAGCAGCAACTGATTCGTATCCACGCTATTGGGGCAGGAGAACCCAAGGTAGGCTGGAGGAGAAAGGAAGTGAGTGTTTAATAGAGTGGAGGCTTTGCAGTAGAGGTGTACAATAAGGTTAGGACTCAAATAAGTGCTTTGAGAGTTCAGGTATGGAGTGTATAATGTATCTTGTCTGGTGAAGTGAGGATGTGAAAAGGAAATTGAGGGTGACCGTATTTAGGGAATAGTGTCAAGCTAAATAAAAATATATGAACATAATGTTCAGACAGAAAGAACATGTGAATAATGTCTAAGCCATGATTTTATATTCATACCTAAAATTACAGCAATGTACTGTAGGTTTTATATTTTTTTTAAATTACAAGTGTAAATAATAATACTGTACTGTAACAATTTCATTAGGTAAAAGGACACCTGTGCAACTATCTTTATTACTATAATTATCATAATTTTACTATGCTTCAAACATACTGTACTACTTTAAATATCAAACACTTCATGTGAAAAACATAACCTAGATCAATATGAAAAACAACATATTGATCTAGGTTTTGAATGGGGATTGTGTATAAAAAAGTGTAAGAAACTGAGCATGATATTTTAGGAATACAGCAACATACCTTCAGCGTCACAGTCACTGGATTCATCAGCCCACTCACAGCGGTAGGTACTAGAGGAGAAGGCAAGGCCGGCTGGGCAGTTGACTAGGTGGGCAACACCATTGACACAGTTATAGAAATAACCACATTCAGCTCGGTTTCCAGAGCCGAAGTAGCCCCATTGGTGCTGGCAGAATTCCGTTGGTTGTGGAGGTTCTGAGGGCCAAATGGAGAATTGAGCTGATGATTGCTTATTCATTCCATTTACCCCTCTAAGTTTTTTATTTCATAACCTAATACTTACCCACTAACACAATCCACCCCATAAAAATTAGAAGATTTTAGAAAATACTTACGAGTACGGCCCCTGGAGCCACAGTCGACCTCACTGGGGTAGTCACATGGGTAGCGACCATTTTTTATTTTGTCATTAAAGAGTAGACCATCAGGACACAGCTGCTCTGTGGCTACTCCATCCCTGCACTCCACATACTTGTCACACTGCTGGGAATCACTGAAATAGTGGACATCTTCAGGTGGGCAGGACTGACCCCATGCTGTTAGGAGAGGGAGAAGGTTGATGATTCTGTAGTTCTGGAGTAATTGCAAATAAATACTTTCACACCATTCCTATTCCCTGTGAGAAAATGAGTTAGAATTTTTCACTCATAAGACATGTGTTGTAGGAAGCTAAAATGCAAGGGGCAAAAGACTGACTACACCTTACCCTCTAATTTATAAGCAAATACTGAAGGAAATTAATTTATTTTTCCTTAAATTGCCTTACCTTGTTAAAAACTGAATTAAAAATAAAATTGAACTTTGATAGAATAATTTATTTTAAACCAGGCAAAACTGCATCATATTTAACCCTAGCTTAAAACTAGTAGCAGGAATGTTGCCTCATGTCACAGAATGTTACACCACCATTCTTATATAATTACTGAGAGGTAGTACAGTATGTGGTGCTGCTTGAAGTAGGGGAAGATTACCTTAGACTTCAGCTATGTGAAGAAGCTTTTTTGAGAGAGAGAGAGAGGAGGGGAAGGAGGGAAGTAGGAAGGGAGGGAGGAAGGTGACGTTGATGATGGAAATGACAGAAAAATCTTAACTGGAAAGATGACAGTGAATTCTGAGTGTTCCTCAGAAGTGCTGTAGCCTGTAGGAATGTAGGTAGCTTGTACTTGTGTTCTGTATTTTAGTATCCTAATAACAATACAAACCATGATAAACAGAGGACAGTGAAGTGTAGTGAATCAAAGAAAAGTGATATTAATCTTGCATATCTCTTGTATACTATATTATTGTTAGGCATTGTAGGTTTTATGAATGTCCTGCTGCTGCTGCAATCATAGCTGAATGAGATGCACTGGTTCAGTGATTGGTGAAGGGCTCTGATTCAAGGAATTGGAGCTAGATCCTTGCAGCCTAAGACAAGTGGCTCTAGTGGCTAATGCACTGGCCTGTGAATTTTAGGACTCATTTGCCATGGGTTCAAACTCCCACCCATTCTGTGAATTGTTGTGGTTTTGTGGAGAAGAAATACCGGCAAAGGAGACTTCTTCACTCTAAATGAAGACCGCCTCAGTTTGAGGGAGTTTACTTAGTAAGGTGAAGGTGAGAAACTGCATAAACCTTTTGAGTTTTTGTTTTGCTCATCTGTAGTTGGCTGCAAAGTTTTGTGTAAGTATTAGTTCATTCAAATTCTGTAGTATGCAAATTAAATTTTATGGGATTCCTTGAAGGAGGTTCCTTCATGCCAGTGAGGGGCTCTTAATTTAGGAAACTGGGGACCTGTACTCCAATCCCTTGAATCAAACCTGAATGCTTTCCACTTTCTTGGGCGCTGTATGATCCCTATGGGTTTAGCGCTCCCCAATGAATGTACTAATTATCAAGAAATATATGACCTATGGGTTTAGTGTTTCCCCATAAATATATAAAAAATAATAAGTTTGATGGATTCATGATGGTGTTGAATGTTGCAGTTAATTTACTGCTTAGATCTGACAATGTGAATAGAAAGGATTTTTTTTTTATTGTTGGCTTCTTGTTGGCCTTGACAGGTGTTTGCCTGCAGGGAAGTCGTGACTGTTTGTCAAAACTGCGAAGCACTCAAAATGTTAGGTAACTAATCATTAAAACTTTTGAGTCATGGTGGGAAACCAGTAATAGATATGTATTTATTTAACCTTCATCTTTCAAGAAAACTGCTTTGATGCTGGTGAAAGGTTCCTGAGCCAAGGAATCAGAGCTGGCCTGCCCTTGGGTCAGGCTAGCTCTAATCTGCACCTACAAATTTAAATTGCCCTCTCTGCCATCATCAAATTAGGAAGCACTTTTTTTATTTTTTTGAATGTTTGAACCTACACCACTGAGGATTTTGGAAGTTATCCCAGCCTTCCAGGATGCTGGGAATAAGCCCTACAACTTTAGTCATAGGGCATGTGAACATGCCAATTGTTCCAAGAATCTAGTCCTTGTTACAATACACAAGCATTGAAAATTTGAAGCTGATTTGATGAGGCGTTCTTGAGTTATGAGCGAAGTAAAAGCAAAAGTCTGAGAAAGAAAAAAAATTCAATCAACCTTTTAAAGGTCCTCTTACAAAGATACGTAATAATTCTATTTGAAATGATAGTGTACCCTGGGCAGGACTGAGCTTTGACGACAAACTGAAGGAAGATAACAGCTAAAAAAAAATCGTAGATGATAATGTTAAGAGTTCAGATATTTTTACTATCGTAAAGTGACGAGCATTTCTTGTTAGGTTCGGACCTGTCTCTAAAGCTCAATTTTCGGACATGTTGCTGTCGTCTACATTTTATAAAATTCCATTCAGACACTCGAAGTGCCTAATATTAGATTCAGGGATAAACTCTATCCTCAGGGCCTTAGAGCTTCCCCTGGGAAATGGAAAGCAATCGGGTTTGATCCAGGGAAGGAGAGGGTAGTTCCAATTGCTTGGATCAATAGTGCTTCATTGGCATAAAGGCACCAACCATACTTAAAGAGTATGCATGTAGTCTTATCTAACATGATGCAGATTGCAGCCTTGATCATGTAACTTTCTCCATGTCTTTCCTCCTGGATAACCCACATGGGTTTTTCGTTGTTTGTGAGTAAAATAATTATAATCATGTTGTCTCAGCAAATATTAAGTGGGTAGACTGGTAGGGACCCAGCGGCCACCTTGAAGATGACCCACAGTGTTGTCTAGTGTGGTGGCCTCCACCACCTCCGAATGACCACTGTGCGAGTGAAAGTGTCACTCCCAGACACTGACCCTGCTACCACCAGTGGCACCACCTCTTGTCATAACCCGTGCCACAGATCATGGTAGGACCTGTACCAGAACCAACATCATGACCCCTGCCAGGACCAGCATCATGACCCCTGTCAGGACCAGGGTCATGGCTCCACCAGGATCAGCATCATGACCCCTGGCAGGACCAGCATCATGACCCCTGCCAGGATCAGCATCATGACCCCTGCCAGGACCAGCAGCATGACCCGTTCCAGGATCAGCGTTATGACCCCTGCCAGGTCCAGCATCATGACCTCTGCCAGGTCCAGTATCATGACCTCTGCCAGGACCAGCTTCATGACCCCTGCCAGGACCAGCTTCATGACCCCTGCCAGAACCAGTGGCACAACCCATAGTGAAGACCTCACCAGGCACGAGAATTTGTCTTGGTGGTGGATGAGTGCAAGGTAAATATTTATTAATATTTTTTCTCATTTCTGATTATAAGTACTCCCCCCCCCACATATTGTGAGTTTAGCGCTTAGCTTTGATTGTAATAATATTGCACTTAGGTGACAAAGCTCGCCTCCTAGTGGTGAAGGTACCACATGCTGGGGATTGCCTTATGGCTATCCCTAATTCCTCTTGTACACTTGCCTTAGCCCTCAGGTCATTCCCATTGGTGTAGCCTCTTCATCCAGCCATCTTCATTCTCACCAAACTCAAATGCTTCTGCGGCAGTGCACCAGCATAACAAGTTTGGCTCAGTTCTCTCATCTGTTATACATCAGATGGAAAGTGTCGGACAAGACAGGGTCACTTATATCAAGCAAACCCTCACCACAGCCCGTTGCCCAGTTAAACAGGAACCTAAGGTACTCATACTCGATGGCAGAAGCGCCTGAATGGTGTCACCATGCTACCCTGGAAAGACGGTAAGCAGATTGCATGGGACTACACTTGTGTATTTAGCTAAAATGGCAGACACCTATGATACTCCGAATATGAAGGGGGTAGTGCTGTCGGCTTCAAAGACCCAGATCAACAAATATAGGGACCTAGCACCATGCTGTAACTTCCTTCCAACAGGATCAGAGACCTGTGGAACATGGAGCAAGTGTCCACTAAATTTCTGAAGATGTTATGTGATAGACTTGGGAAATGAAGGACTCCCAGAGCGACCAGCTTTCTACTCCAGAGACTCAGTGTTGCGATTCAGAGGAAATGCCTACAGCATCTTGGACACACAACCCATCTTTGGGAAGCTAAACCAAGTGTTTGAGATAAAGGTTTTGTGATGTCATAGGTTTTATTGTAATTACTGTGGAAATTTATTTGGTCCCTAAAGTTCCACAGGACAGATCCAGCATGGCCGTAATGGAACGGCTGAGCTGGGTGGCCCTTATACCCCACCCAAAACAATGCATTCTCTCTAGTTGGTGTGGATTGTTGGTAAGCTTAATTAATTTATAGATTTACCCTTCAGGGAAGGAGTAGGTAGTTTTACTGGTAGTACACTAATATTAGGATAATTGAGGCAACTGTAGATAATAATACTGTAGACCTAAGACCTTAACATGGGTAGTAATAGGCCGATTATGTAGGCAAACACTAGGATAAGTTAGCTAGGGAGAACTGGCAGCCCTAGTTTAAAGGAAGAGACGAGGGTCTGGAAGAGAGACCAGCTCGTTCTTCTTAAGACACACCAACTGGACAAGACGTGCCGTGATCAGCAGACGGCGCCCCCCACGTGTCTTCACATTTGAGACCTGGGGAAATCTGGTAGAGGCACCTCGATGTACCGTAGATGACCTCCGTCAGGCCCATACAGTAAGACAAGACCTCCACTTTATCTCATAGATTTCTGGCCAGTGTCTGGGGAGAATTGTGAGTGAGTTTGATCTGTGGGCCCGGTGTGCAACAGGCAGTGCATGCCCAGTAAGTACCAGTGTCTCAAGGCAGTCTGGAAGCTAGTGTCCGTGTCTGCATAGTTATACTAGGGGATACATACCCTCTTGTATATAGGAATTTCTGAGGTGCAGGCAGGTCACTAATAACGATTGAATATTGCAGGAATTAAGGCTCCCGGTGCAAGGTTGCACGTGGTTTCTGAGGGGAAGTCCAGAGGGGCTAAGCTTAGGGAAGCTGAAGATCAGGATATATGCTGCAACACCAAGTTAGTTCTTTATACGTGCATGCAGGCGAGTTTTCTTGCAACATCAATCATTTGTGAAAATCTGTCCTATAAGCCACTTGTGAGGCTGAGGTACCCACCTCAGAGCTCGGTGCCGACAGAGTTTGCCAGGGTAG